GAGTCCATATGCTGGTGTGGTTGGCCCTGGGTTCCTCCTAATGCAAGACAACACTAGACCTCATGTGGCTGGAATGTGTCAGCAGTTCCTGCAAGATGAAGGCATTGATGCTATGGACTGGCCCACCCATTCCCCAGATCTGAATTCAATAGAGCACATCCGGAACATCATGTCTCGCTCCATCCACCGACGCCACATTGTACCACAGACTGTCCAGGAGTTGGGGGATGCTTTAGTCCAGGTGTGGGAGGAGCATGCCCAGGCATTGTAGGGAGGTCATACAGGCACGTGGAGGCCAAAAACACTACTGAGCCTCATTTTTACTTGTTTTAAGGACATTACATCAAAGTTGGATCAGCCTGTAGTGTTTTTTTCCACTTTAAATTTGAGTGTAACTCCAAATCCAGATCTCCATGGGTTGCTAAATTTGATTTCCATTGATAATTTTTGTGTGATTTTGTTGTCAGCACATTCAACTATGAAATGAACAAAGTATTTAATAAGAATATTTCATTCATTCAGATCTAGGATGTCTTATTTTTGTGTTCTCTTTATTTTGGGGGGCAGTGTATATTGGTTTTTATTTTTATTTTTTTTAGATTGTTTATTACATAATTGGCTTAGGGAAAATTAAGGATAATAATGATGTGTAATGTTAAATAAAATAGGTGGTAAGCTGAAAATAGAAATAATAGGGAATAAAGATCTGAGAATCTATATATGAAATGATATTGATACTGAATTAATGAATTGAAATATGAAATGGAAATTTATTTAAAGATGAGTAAAATGGATAATGAGATGAGATGACATCATATAAGATTGGTGAAAATGAAAGTATGATTATGTACAAGTGTTATAATCTGGAACCACGTTGCCCACAGAAAGAGATGTGTAAAAATTAAAAAATTAAAAAAAAATTGGGAAAAAAAAGAATTAGTTTACAGATTAGAGATGAGATATGGGAAGAAGAGATTTTTTTTGTGGTAGTACCAGAGAAGACAATAAATTACTGGAATTGTTTCTACTTGTTCTGATGAAGGAGCATGTTATTTCCTTGTACATTTTTTCCTTATTATATTCTTTTTCTTTCTTTAACCTTTTTCTCTGCACTTTTTTTTTACTCATTTTTTTAGTTTGTATTAATATTTTGTTTTGTATCTCTAAACTTTAATAACATTTTTTTAAATTAAGTTATTATTACATATAATGTAATATATATGGTAAGATATAAATTAAAAATGTATGGTATATATATTTAAATTTATTTGTATTGCTTTTTAATCAACAGTAACAATTATACATTGTGAAAGAAAATGGTAAAAAATTAAAAGTGCTTTAATAAAAAAGTGGAAAAAACTGACAAGAAACAATATGTGATTATACCAATAAATGCAAATAAATCTATATATGCTTGGCTAATGCAAATATTATTCAAGTGCATAAATATTTTAAACATCTACCTGAATATCTTTTTTTAGTATGTTCTGTATAGAGACCCATATTTCATTGAACTAGTTATACAAAATCTACAACTGTAGGCAATCAGCTCATATGACAAATGCAATCAGATCTTCAATCCATTGACTAAATTGAGTCATATGTTTATCTTTCTAATGCTGAAATATCAGTCCTTTAGCCACAGTAAGGGTTAATACGTAGAAATGTATCTTTTAAAGAAGCATTATCCTTATTATATTTACAATAAAACGTTGTTTTTGACAGCCCTTTTCTAAACAAACATAATGAAATCCAATAATTCTAAATGTGTTCTTTGTCAAGGTGCCCATAACTTTCCAAATGTGCCTCCCAGTTCCTAAAGATTGAAAATCCTATATCACAACTATGAAATAGTTAAAAATACACAGACAAAATTACACCTGGCATACTCAGCTAAAATCAATTTAATTTATTCCTGGGGGCTTACTACCAGAAAAAGTCTTTTTAGTAACTCAAAAACTAAAATTCTAACTCAAAGTCATATATAAGATCCTTCAAATAAACTGTCTTGCTAAATAGCTTCTTTAACATCTTAGTACAACTAAGGATATTGATTATGGTGTTCAATCAATGAGCACTGTAACTGATAATATGACAAGAGTATAAGTATGAGCATTGTAAGTGATGAAGCAGCATAATATAAGCTCTGATGTTTAGAAACATTGCATGGAAAATTCTGACAAGGTTAGGCTGAATTAGCTGTGGAAGAAATTAAACCAATTATGAAGCATACGGTAGTTACTCCACCACCCACTGATAGGTATATAGGGAAAAACAAGTACATACTGTTTTATTTTTAATCACAGCTGCTCAAGTCAATTTTCTGTGACAAAAACAAAAACAGAAATAAAGCACAAGCAATGAGATAGCTTATTTAAATGATCCATTACCTCTCTCCCCAAAACATCTATATTTTCTGTTTATTATACTGAAGTAGCATAGCAATAGCATTAGGACTTATATACCGCTTCACAGTGCTTTACAGCCTTCTCTAAGAGGTTTACAGAGTCGTTTCTCAAGGCTAACTCTTAATAGCAATAGTAGGCAATCCACCAAGATTGTCTACTCTAAAGAGGAGAATGAAATTTAAATTTAATCATAAATGTAATTAGTATTGCAAAACAACAGAAATAATAAAAAATACAAATTAAAAAGTAATAGTTGCTTTGGAGAAAAATCAAAAATCTTATTGTTTATAAGATCATAAGAATCACCCTGCATTAATTTTTCAATAGTGGTGGTCTTCCAAATGCACTGTGACTACCTCTATCAACATTCCTAGTCAGCATGAACATATATTGCCAGGAAATGAAGAAACAGTCAGTCAGTTGCTTCCAAGAAATTCTCAAGCTGGAGAACCCAAGCAACTGGCTTTAAACCTGTAGGTTTATTTAAAGTATTACAGCTAACAGCAGACTTATCAAGCGTTACAATGTCTAATCACTTTCTAATACTACACCATTCAAAAAAAATCTGTCTCCCTCTTTATCCTCCATAACATTTTGCCAGCACAGATGGGGAGAGTAGCAAGGTGTAAAGAAAACCAGTATTTTTGTATCATCAACTATTATGACTTCTTGCAACCTTTTTTCTAGACAAAAGAACACAGGAACATTTTCTTTCCTTGTATCAAGTTCTCCTACAAATCATAGGAATACTATCTGAAACAGAAAAAATGGGAGGCAAGCTGAAATGAATGATTTAAAAGATCCTTTTACAATTTTCCTTTTCTAGTGGAACAAATAAAAAAAAAATCAGGAAATTGTGCAAAGCCTAAAGAAATAAGGGTATTTTTCCAAATAAAGCGCCTTTCTTTGTTATACAAGTCCTCAGATAATAGCTATGTAACAATTTGCATGAACCCAACATTTAGTAGGCTACTTACAAGATGGCCACAGGGACAGAGGGCTTGAAAAGGATTTTAGAGATAACAGATTAGCACAGGCAGAGGGGAAAAAGCAGAAGGCAGAAAAATCCCCAAACCCCTACTGATAAAAAACTTCACACATCCCTTGTTCAGCATTATTAGCCTTGCATTCTCCCATCACTACAACAAGTACAATACAATATACTTTATGAATGAATGCAAATATACTGTCCCAGGATAATGTAGCAAGATTCAATCTGTGTAGGTCACCAGGACCAGAGGTTTAGTCTTTCAAGCTTTCAGTTCCCTGAGGATGGACTTCAGCATGAGTCCTAAAGCTCAGAAAACGAAACCTCTGATCCCAGTGACTAACCCAGATTGGATCCTGCAATATATTTCGTTCAGTTTAAGTGTTACATGCTTATGTAGGTCAGATTTATCTTTAACCATATTCTGCTGCCTTAATCCTGACCAGAAGCACCGAGGCCTCATGTTGTTTTCCCCTTCCATAGTTTAACACTTTCCAACTTTGTCTTTTCCTGAGTGATACTGTACTTTTGATAGAAACTGCCAATACAGCTTTAACATGTGACCAGCTGTTCTTCCAAGTACTTAATTTGACTGGCAAAACCAAGAAGGACCAACTTCCAAATGTAAAATGCTTCTTGGTTTTTAATTTTCTTAATTGCAAACCAATATTGGCCCGACATTTACTTAGATTATTGTGGATAATCCAATACCCAATACTTCATATTGTGGTAAAAACACCAGCAAGATATTATAGATTTTCATGTTGTGGCCATTTCTTCTACTCTTTTCCATTGGGTAGAAGCCAGGAAGAGACCACCCACAAGCCATAGTTACATATTCTAGTCAGCCACTATATAACGGACTACTAATGAATCAGAAACCCACATTTGCACATTATACTATTGAAGAACTTGAATTTACATGTTGCAGACCTATGCTTAAATTATTTTGGAACTCATTTTCTGTGTCTACAACTGCATTTAATTATTTCATTCAAGTATTTGATTTGTGAACTTATGAAAAAAGAAATACATTATCAAAGTTTGTATGAAAGAATTTCAACTCAGGAGAGTTCCTAAAATGGAAAATAAATCCAGTCATTTGATGTTCTAAAGTGTTTTAAACTACAATAAACTGCAATCTCGTAAATCACATAAAACTGTTCAAAGGTTCCTGAGTATATATAATTGAGATTTCAGTTGCTGTACAATTCAGCTCGGGTTTTGTTCTCATTGATGGAGGGCAGGATTTGCTCACTTTGGAGGTTTTCCCAGTGTATGAAAGAAGAAGTATGAAGATATGAAATAGCTAACAGAACTGGTTGAGAGAGCAGGACTTCACCCTCCAAATTACAAATTATGCCTGCCTTCTAGGTATTTATTGAAATTGCCATCATACTTATGTGCAACCGTAACAACTTTTTAAAAAAGTCCTACTTTTCTAATAATACAAAAACCTGGTAGATATTCCATTAGGAGCCATGACATACTTTATATAATATGATCAAGGCAGCCATAAAGTTCAGCAAATCTACATACCCCTCAGTGGTTAAAATCAGAGCATACAATTAGCTCACTGACTGACGGAGCTCATCCACACTCACCTGCAGTTCACACCAAGCAACTTCTACCCAGGTTTCTGTGTCCAGACCCTTGAAGACAGTTTTGAAAGCTCCTCTTCCCAACTCAATGTCAAATTTCAGAAATCTTCCACCAGGTGATGTAGCCACAGCCTTCATCTCTGCCTCTTCTTCTATCTCCTTCTTCATCCTTTCCTTCGTGGCTTCCATAATCGCCTTTGAGTTTTGCTCATTTCTGGCTTCTTGCTCAGCTACAAGTGTACTAGCAGAAAGATGGATCATCCTCTGATCACCCAAGATAAATTGTTCTTGCTCATTCCGTGGAGTAAGTTCCAAGTCCTTTTCATCCTCCATTATCTCCACACTTTTTCGGAAAAACCTTTTTCTTTCTACAATTGCCCCAGAAGCAGGTGTGCTAAGCCCCTCTTTGGTCCTGGCCTCCATGGTCAAAGTAACATCAACAGAAGGATTCATACATTCTAAAGAAACTCCATCGGGTTTCTCTGATTCTTCTGTGCTGGCTGATTCGCCAGAGTCTGTAGCCATGACACAGCAAAGCCTTGGCACTTAGATATATGAAGTGTTTCCCTTCCTCTTCACTCCAGGCACATCATGAATAACTGCAATATTATCAGGACTTACTTCCTCTCAGATTATCATAAGATTCCCATAGCAACCTGTAACAAGAAGGAAGGAGGGGGGAAAGGTTCATTTTAAAAGGTGAAATATGAAGCAGGCACCAAAACTGCAATGTTCAGATAATTAGTCTACCTTCTTTATTCCAGCAACAGAAACCTAGTTTTTTGTTTAAAGACATTTTTACCGTTGAGCCAGTAAACTGAATAATGTACTATATACATCACCTTAGATTATTGGCTTCAAGAGTTTAACATCACATGATGTTACTGTAAATAAATCTTTTGGCAGTTTGACATATGAATGGGTTTGTTGACCTAAATATTTCCTCCCTTTCGAACTTCTCAAATTCAGCAATTGTTAGTGAATTCATCCAATGAATTGTCAAAGTTGATGCATGCTTAGGAACTTACACACTTTGTTGTCTTTATCTGTATTACATTGCACATTGTATGCTTAATAAGATTCCCTCTTTTGGGTTTCCAAGAACCCTGTCAAGGTTGGAACCTTGTAATTTGAATTATTTCTCCATACAAAAAGCCTCCTATTACAGAAAAAAGGAACAAACAAATGTGACACTGATTGTTTAAAGTCACATAACAATAAGAGATCAACATATAATATAGACTAATGACTAAAAACATACCTATACAATAATGCTTTTACCTATATTGCTTGAAAAAACAGAAATTACTTAGCAGCTATTTTTTCAGAAACAGTTACTCCCTTTGTGTTCTGCTGACCACAAATGCTCCTTATAAATTAAATGAAAGAGGCATTTTTATTATTATGTTCTGAATGTGCATTGTGGATGCTTAATAATTAAATCCAGATAAACTGGTATTTCCGGCTAGTATGCTGTATTATGACGGAGCACTGTCCAAAGTGCTTGAGATTTTCCATGTGGTTTGAGGAGGAGGTGTTTTTTTTTTTTAAAGCAAGCTTTCAAATGTAAAAAAAAGAAAAATCCATGCCTCAATGGGAGTTCATTTAATCAGCTAGCCTCTGTAACACCACATCTTCAAGCAAATGGAGTTAATGGAATCTATTCAAATCCCTCTAGATATTTACACTCACATGTCAAGTTTATTTACAAATGCTGAAAACAATGTGTTCCAGCGAAGACTTAACGACTCAGCATCAATGCGTACGCCAAAACATTTTAATGTACTACACATTTCAGTTAAATAAATTAACATATATAATGGTTTCATAAAACAATACAAATCCATGTTACTGTGTCAAGCTTTTAATATTATATTTTTACATGCCTTGAGACATCAGTTTTAATAAGAAAAAGAAATAGAACAGCCATGAGAAAATCAACATGCTGCAGTTCTTCAGTTAAACTAGACATTCCTTGTGAATATACAGTATTTTAGAATTCTACATCTTCATAATGAAAATACAGTAGGAGTATACAGAATCTGAGTGAGTTAAAAGAAAAAATAGTGTAGTATATGCTGTAAGGGAGAATAAAAATGGGTAAATATTGTACTTGGTACTGGGGAAAAAAAACAATTAAGATATCCTATATCACTACATTTAAAATTTATCCAATAGAGTATTTATGACACAGTCATTCTTTGGACATAAAGCAATAGAAGACCATTTACTGAGAGGGTATTATTTGCACGGCAAGCAATGCTTGGGTTTACTTCTGTCTTTTTTCTGTGAAAAAAACAGAAGCTTCCTCCACACAATTGCCAGCTTCACCATCCCACCAACTATTAACAAAATTTTCACGATTTTGTGGTGCACTCAGAAAATGTTTCCACCTATTCCTGAGCCAGTACTCCTCTAACTAGCCAATGGGGAAACACTAAAAATAGCAAAACACTCCATCCTCCTTCTTGTTCCTTCCTTGCTATATTTCACTTGTATAGCAAGAAACAAATACCCCCCCATCCCAAACCCAGCTGCTACTCTGTTGGAATGCAGCAAAGTTCCTCTGCTAAGTAGCCTGAAACAGCAACGAAGCATTGTAATATCTATAGTCTGGGAAGCAAAGAAACATCTCATGAGCCAGAAAGCAAAATGAGACCGGGAACTGCCTACCCTGCAGCTACAGAGAAAATGCTACACAACTATCTTTCAGCATTTCCTTTAGAGGCAATTGACTAACTGAATCAATTAATTTCTGAATTGACTCTGTATACAAAGTCACTAGAAATCCCTCAGCATTATGGAAACATACATGAGAAAGTGCCGATGCCATTTTGGTATCATTCTTACACATGAAAGGGGGTAAAATTAATTGGATAGACTTAGTCTTTCCATCTCCATCCTCACCCTTGTGTATCCCAACAGGGAATCTTGTGATAGTATGCCATTCATCTTGCAAGAGATGACTCCAAGTGGCTTATAGAGATTTGATTAAAATGCACTATAAAACATTGAAGCAATAAAAGTCAAGTAAAATAAAATTAACCAGGATGGAGAGGAAGGGAACAAAATGTGAACAGGAAGCAGGTGAGGTGTTATCTACTCCAAACTGTTGCACTTCCATTGGGGTCCAAACTACCGTATTTCCCCATGTATAAGCCACCCCTTTTTTCCAAAATTTTCAAGCCCAAAAAGTAGGGGGGTGGCATATACAAAGCAGGTACACTTTTTATACGTGAAAAATGCATAAAATAATAAAGTAGGAATAAACTGGTTTTCCAGCAGTATGCTATACTTTTTTGTAAAAATTGTACGTGATGATACGATTACGAGTGCGAGTACGCGATAGAAATGCATACGATAGGCATCGGCCTGAATGCTTCGTTCCTACTCTCGTTCCGATGCATAGATTGCTAGCGTCGCCCGCACCGCTTTCGGCGTCATGACCGAAGTTGTAGATCTAGACGTCGAATTTTGTTTCTTTGTAAATTTTCTTTCTTCATAACTTGTTTCTCTAATAAAATTTTTTTTCAAAACTTCACAGTCCAAAAATTGGGGGGGTGGCTTATACAAAGGGGGTGCTTATACATGGGGAAATACGGTAATTGGCATAGCCATGTCATCAAAGCCTTTTGGAGAAATACGTAGGACATAATGCAGGGATTACAAATAGAAGAGAGACTTGGTAGAAATATCCTTTAATGTGAATAGAACAATAGGATAGGGATCATTAAATGCAGAACAAAATTAATCAGTATATAATACTTGACAACCCATGCCCCATTGGATCATCTCTTCAGAGACATTTCCCTGAAAACACAGAAACAGAATAACCAAAGAATAGCCAAAGACAGGCAAAAAAGCAAGAGCAACTTCTAACTTCCTGCCGGTTTCCCCATTGAGTTTCCTTGTGAGAATCTGGCAGGGAACACTGGATATTGGAGATCCAGTTTGGCTAGTGATTAAGACACCAGGCTAGAAAACAGGAGACTGTGAGCTCTAGTCCCGCTTTAGGCATGAAACCAGCTGTGTGACTTTGTGCCAGTCACATTCTCTCAAGCTCAGCCCAATCCATCTCACAGGATTGTTGTGGGGAAAATAGAAGGAGGAAGGTGTGTTGGATATGTTCGTTACCTTAGTGATTTCTAAAAATAATAAAAGCAGGACACAAATAAATATCTCCCTTCCCTTCCCTTGCCAGCAGGAAGGTAAGAGGTTACTGCTGGATGAGGGACTGAGGGAGGGATTGTGAGACTGGCTGAGAATCTGTCTCAGAACACTGACAATGAAGATGACATGACAGTAGCAGCAATGCAAAAGTGAGCAGAAGCCAGTAACACTGAAGCAGCCGCAACTTTCCCAACTTTTATTCCTTGGGAGTCAAGGGTCCTGGATTTTGCACACATTCTGTAAGCCCATCTGAGGTATCTGACTTATTATAGTGTAGAATATATTAAGAGAGCCAGTTGGAAGTAATGGTTAAAGGATCAGGCTAGAAACCTGGCACGTGAGTTCTAGTTCTGCCTAAGGCCCAAAGTCAGAAAAGAGGCAATGACAAATCACTTCCTTTTTTAAGACATAATCTTTATTGAAGATTTGTATATAAATACAAATGGTAATGATTACAAATTGACTATTCATCCTCCCTCTTTAAGATTATATTACAAAGATTTCTACTATGCCATATTCAGACCATTTTTAATCAATAAATTTAGAAATCATTCAGCAAAAATGGCAAACCACTTCTGAAAAACCTTGCCAAGGAAACTGCAGGGGCTAGTCCAGGAAGTCACCAGACATCCATTATGATTCAAAGGCATAAGTAATAAAATAAAATAAATATATTAATCCATAAACTAACAACATAACAGTAGTTAAACTATTCTAAAATTTGAAATCTCCTAAAATCATACATTCTGTAAAATCTCATTCCCTGTGAATATCATTCACTATTTTTGAGATATAAAACAAAAGAAAATGATATCAAAGAACTCCATGAAATTCTATCAATACTTGCTTTACCTAGTTCTGCCACCTTTACAGGGCAAAATCAAAATAAATTAGCAACTAAAGCATGCTTAGAAAATTAATTTTTACAACTTGCCCATTCTGTCAGAAAATATTATTAATAGCCTGGTCCAGCAATCACCTCCCTCCCCAGCCTGCTCCATAAGGAGAAAATGTGCAGATAATGTGCAGATACCTCAGATGGGCTTACAGATACAGCTCTTTTGCTAAGGCTATTTGAAATGGAATCCAGAGCATATGCTAACAGGAGCAAACATACAACAAATGAACAACAATTCACCTTTGAGGCCAAAAGCCAACTGAGCCTATGACATTCCCACACTGACTTTTAAAATCAAAGTACCTCCCACTTGTATACATAAACAAGTTTTTTTATTTTGTTTGCACTGTACAATAAAAATATATCTAAACCTTTAAAATCTTGGAAGTTATTCACATACTTATTTTGGGTTATTGTTTTTATTAAATCCAATCCTAGAGATTATGGTTATTTAACGATGCACTATTTTAAGAAACTAGCCAAACTGAAACAATGTAACAGATAAACAAGCTAAGGAAAGTGCACTACCACTTTCATAAGAAATAATTGAAAGGCAAAAAATACAATCTAGGAAGAAAAACAAAGGCAAAGAAACTAGTGGGAAGTACTAGCATATTTAGGCTTGAACAGTTCAAAGATTATACTATAATGGACTGCAGTTTAAATGTTTATCAATAGGAGACAATAATTGTGTTCAGTTATTAACATATTACTAATTAACACTGGGTAATACAA